ATCCTCAAAAAGGAGGCAAAGGTGGGCTTAAAAACATGTAAATGTTCGGAGTGATCACTTGGAACAAGAAATTTCATTGTATTTAATGGTGACATTCAGTGACGTTGGAAAAGGTTAGCAAAATCTGTACCGTTTTAGTTAGGATTTCGGTTAATTATCATAATTTCCACTGAACTTCCATCACTTACTGTCACCTCGAAAAGTAAGTTACGTGGCATCAAAAGTGCACTTGCATTTGCCTAGCTCTCACCAGCGTCTAGTTCTTCTTGAGTTTATAAAAAGTATCAGATTTAACACCTTGGAGCCCATGCAGCCCATATGTGGGCTGCAGTCTGTTACCCGTATGGGACCTTATGTCCCAGATTTTGGGAAAAAATGTTCAGTTTTTCTTTTGTTTTTCATTCCATTACATTTACTAAGATTTCCTCTGAGTCATTCAATAGGTTTTTGCTCCCAATTCGCTTGATAAGATTCCTAAAAAATCCATTGAAGTCGCAAGCGGCCGCAATACGTATAACGTGCGCGGCACCAGCGTGTTAATGCAAGCTGCTTGACTTAAGTTATACCTAGGCTTACTGTCAATTGTGTGGGCTAACGATAAGTCCCACAGAAAATTATGATTCTACGGAGAAGTACAACGCGCGCTAAATAAACAAATTAGCGGAAATAACTGTTTTCTTTAGGGGCGGAAGTGGTGTAGTGACAAGTGGCGCGCTTACCACGCGAGCGGTCCGGGGATCAAATCCTGGGTCGTGAGTCGCCCGGGCCAACCAAGCCTTCCATCCCTCCGGGGTCGGTTAATTGGTACCAGACTTGTCTGGGAGGATAAAAACACTGACTTGTACATCGGCTGGCCCCCGCAAGTCATTGTATAGGCCACATCGCATTCAAACGCCACTACGAATGTACAAATGGAAGTAGAATGCGTGCCGCATCCCAAAAAGGGATTGATCAACGGCAAATGCTTTATCCTTTTATCCTTTAATGTCTTTTTTTCTTGTCACAACATTATCGCTATGAGCTCTTGGAATGATATTCAGATGGTGAACCTATTCTCCGATTTCGGTGGCAACATCGGTCTTTGGATTGGATTCTCTGTGATCACTATCTGTGAAATCATCGAACTTATATTCGAAATTGGCTACTACCTGCTTTACATCAAACCAGTGCGGTAAGTGCAGTTGAGCTATTTTTTTTTCGGAGAATAGTTCTGGAGCTAGCAACATGACTCTCCCTAGAAAGTGGCGCTGTCTTGCCTCACCAGCTATTTAGCGCTACTCTTGTGCACAAAACCCAGATCGCGCTGGCTTGGGGCTCAAAATGTTTAGATGATGTGGGAATACAGTATTGTTGTTCCCATGCTACAAAACATGAACCTAAATACTCATAGTTTGCTTTTGTCCAAGGAAATGTACAAGTAGCAATGGTGGTAGCAAAAGCAACTTCTTATGTTTCATTTCAATTTACAGCGTCTGCGTATGAAATCTGTGAGAGGTGTTAAACATCGAAGGACAGCGCTCGAAGTTCCCAGTAAATACAATGGGAAGGATCTAGTGTTGAGCATGAGCTTGGTCAACTAATCAGGGAGGCCTTCCAGGAAATGCCCAGCTTTCCTCAACGTTCTTCTGCATGATGTAGAGGTGACATGCATGGACTGCTCCAACTACCGCGGGATCAAGTTGACTGCGCATACCATGAAGTTGTACGAGCGACTGGTCGACTCGAAACTGCGGGAGCTGGTCCCGATCTCCCAGGAACAGTTCGGGTTCATGCCCGAAAGGTCTACAACGGATGCCATCTTCATCGCTAGGCAAGTGATGGAGAAGTATCGAGAAAAGCGCCGACCCTGCTACCTAGCCTTCCTCGACCTGGACCGGCTACCGCGAGCAGTGCTATGGAGGTCGCTCAGGGAACGAAACGTGCCAGAACACCTGATCTCTCTGGTGAAGGACATGTACGAAGGAGCCAAGGCAGCTATACGCACCCCACACGGCCTAACGAAGGAGGTGGACATCACGGTTGGGGTGCACCAAGGGTCAGCTCTGAGCCCGTTCCTCTTCCTCCTAACACTAGATGTCCTGGTGAAGGGGCTCATGGAGGGACCACTGAAGACTATCCTCTACGCTGACGACATCGCCTTGATAGCGGATAGCAGAGAGGAACTTCAAGCCAAGGTGCAGAAATGGCAGAAAGTCCTGGCAGAAGGTGGCTGAATGTCAAGAAGACCAAGTTCCTGAGCTCCGAAGAGGGTGCAGAGCCGATCGTGGACGGCCATGGTGAGACCATCGAAAGGGTGGAGGACTTCCGATACCTTGGGAGCGATCTGGCAGCCGACGGTAGTGTGGATCAGGCGGTGAAGGCTCGGGTCAACGCTGCATGGATGAAATGGAGGGAGTCCACTGGAATCCTCTGCGATCGAAGGTGCTCCAGAGCGCTCAAAGGGAAGGTGTACCGGAACAGTGGTAAGGCCTGCGATGCTCTACGGCAGCGAGTGCTGGCCCCTGAACAAGAATCACGAAAGGCAGCTTCACTCCGCTGAGATGAGGATGCTGAGATGGGCCTGCGGCTGGACGCGGCTGGACAGGTTAGAAACGAGGATGTCAGAGCGGTCATGCAGACTGCCCCTGTCCAGCTGAAGGTACGAGGAACAGCGTCTACGATAACGAAAACAGCGCTGCGACAGCGCGGGACTAACGCTAGGGAGAGAAGAAGAAGTAGAAGACTAAAAAAGGAGCGAAGAAGAATATCTTATAGAACTGCCGTTCTTAACTTTCTTCAACAATTTTTAGCCAAAGTCTACATAAAGGTTGCTGATGGTCCTAATTTATAGATATGACATAAGTTGTTTCCGCTGACGCTATTTTTCGCGAATTTTGAAACGCCAACACAAAATGCAAAAAAAATGTCACTGCGAGGATTCGAACCACGACCCACACATCTCATCACCCCTTTTGCGTGTTCAGAGCACCACTGAGCTGCAGTTCTGTGTTCCATGCACGTACCCTATCCCATGCAAAAAACCGCTTCAAGAAAGCTGGGCATTTTCTGAAAGACCTTCCTAGTAAGGAAACGAGGGCCTGACTTATTTGTAAGGTCAGCGAGGAGCGATGAGCCGTAAACATTAACATATGACTTTGAAAATAGTCTTGCTTGGAGATACGTTCTCATGTGAAAAACGAAAAGCTCTTCACGAAACGGTTGATAGACGACAAATGATTTCTTCTCCTGATTTTTGTAGGCAATTCAAGGACTCACTCTCAGCGTGGCTCATCGTTTTTCACTACTCTGAAAATTTCCATTGTGTTGAAGTAAATGCATATACGAAATTTTCTATAAAAATTTGCAGATATCATAAGAAAGTGAAACGACGTAACCAAGAAGGAGCACTCTCGTTGCCTCAGCTGCTCAATCGGCACGTCTACCAAAATCGACCCAGTCTGCGTGACCAGGCAAATCGACTTTCACACGTCGAAGAAGATGGCTACGGATAGATGTAGCCAGGCGATTCGTGGTCCGACTGTCGGAGATTTACCTCGTCTTTCATTCTTCGCCTTCCAAATAGATTTAGTCATAGCTCCACCATTGAGACAGTTCATCGCTTTACGGTACAGAGACGAATATTTGGTTACGTTCATAGTTTGCGACTAAACTTTTCCTCTAGAAGCTCAGGAACCGAAAAAAACCTTCACGAACCGTAATACCGGCAAATTCCTCGACCGACTTCAATGTATTCATTGCAATGTTGCTAACCTTTCAACCTTTCTCACGTCTTTTTTTTGGAGGAACCACAATATTACAGTGTCGCGTAATCGTCGAGCTGGCAGAATAATCGCGATCCGTCCAAGTTTCATTAGTGAACGAGTACCGCTATGAAATCTTGGCCATTGGCAAAGTCGCAGCTAAATATGGCTCAGAACCATGAACTAGGGAACCGAATATTCGTCTCATTGCCACCACTGTGTGGTTCGGATTGATCACATTTGCTGTAGTATTCCTCAATTTTGGATTCTCTGTCGTTTACCCAGCAAGTATGTTCATATTTACTCTGCGCATCTCGTTTCACTACGGGTCACTATGATTTGTTACGTTTTGGAACAGGAATTTTAGTATACTTCATAACAAACTGGAAACTATGTTTATCATAAAGTCAGTGAGGTTCACAGTTGCATCTAAACCGACCGAAAAGGCACCGATTACTCTGCCACTATCCAATCAGCAGCGCGGGGGCGAGAGAGAGGTAGTAGCAAGTGGCACTAATTACTCGAGGCTACTAGGCTCAAGGTCCAGATCAAGGTCCGGTTTGCCCTCTTAAAGCAAGCTAAATCCCGGAGGTCGGCCAACGTTGCTTAAGACTTGTCCAGCGAAGGATTTGACTATCGACTTGAAGTCATACATTACATGGCAACAACACAGCATACACGCTACATCCCCCAGGGATCAAATCGTACCAAATGCCGCAACAATTCTGAGTAGCAGCCAAATGCGTAGTGTACGCCACGACGGGAATGACCAACGCCTACGCGCTTATTCTTTATGCTTTAAACCAGAACTCTCTTCGGACCTTGAACTAAAGTACGTGCGCAGGGGCTATTACACATAACCTGAAATTCAACAACTGCATGCTGACTATTGAGGAACATGGTTTCCGCCACTTGCTCCTGTTTTCTTATGCGATTTGATTCGAATAAAAAATCTGATGTATTGGTACGCTTGTTTTGAATATAGGGGAAATACAATCAGCAGCAGGAGGCAGAATGCTTGGAGAACTAAATCCAAGCGTGATTTAGCGTGCTTGCTGAGGGAACCTAACACCCGAACTTTCTTTCCCAGCACATGCTCTAATTCAATACCAATTGACGTCAGCGCTTGTCTTACGCGAATGATGCAAAAACGGTTTGCACCTCTGAACGGGCAGTAATCACAGCCCGCCTAGACGCGTTCCTCTGGCGTTTTGTCCTCTAATGGCTTACACGCGTGTATATAAAAGAATCCTCCCCCGAAAAATTCCGTCCAAGATTTTGCCATAAAACGAAGAATCAATTGTGCAGTCAATGGATGTTGCGCCGTTAGCCCCACGCCACGTATCGCGACGCATTGAAAGATAGTGAATGCGTTTTTTTTGGGAGAATAGAAACAAAACAATATTGTTAGAATAGGATGCAGCAGAAGTGTAAGATATTAGTGCAAGAAGGCAAAAGGTCAAAAGGGGTCCTAGTGACGGCACTCCGAGAACAATGTGGAAGCGTTCCCACCGCATTTGTGACAGATGTGCGGCGGGAATTTGAATGCATAACAATCCTGCCGCTTAATACTGGGTTGATAAATACTTTTTTTTATTTCTTTTTTGACCCTTATTTGACGATTAATTTTGCACCTTCTTTAACTGAAACGCACTGGTGGTTTGCTTATTTGATTGTTGCATGAAAATATTCTTCTCCTAATTTCACTACTCAGCTCACACACATACAATGAAGGCAGGAAGAACAAAACACATGTTACACTAAAGTTATCGAAACACATACATCTATCTTCGCCAATATATCTCTACCACTTCGAGAAAGGCTGTAAGGTGGCCGAGTCGTTTTGCGACCTCAACGGCGAGGAAACAGTTAGCAAAATGTCAGTTGAAAGATGGTTCGGGAGGGTCAAAAAGTCACATCTATCGACCGAAAAACACTACCACTTCAATCACTCGCGTTGGAAAATTGGCAAAAGAACGAAATATGAGGGGTGACCCTTTGGCCGAGGTAGAACGCCGCCGCGTCCTCCAAGTATCTGACGTTCGTCTCCATCCGTGGAATCAACGCTCGCTGAAGCAAGTGGACCAGCGTTCTTGAAGGGCGAATTCACGATTGGAATGAAAGTCGTCGAAGGAGTAATGACCTATTTAGGGCTCAATCTTGGCGGGTGGGCCAGTGCACGCCCACCGATCATCTGATCACTCGCCGCAGGTCTATACGTGGCGAGTGATTAGATAGGTGAGAGAGCGTAGTGTTGAAGAGGGCACAGCGATGAGAGTCGCATCAATGCTCAAATCAACGGGCAAGGAAGGGGTCCCATTTCTCGGGTTCTGGGCCGTTTCCGGCATCGGTTCGAGCGCGCCCTGGCCCGTTTTTCATGGGTTTTTCCTTCCTTTGGCGTACCCAACTCATCAATCGCTAAGTCAATTTGAATGGGTTGTCTTCCGGCGTGAATTAGTCCCTTCAACGAGGTATTACCGCTCAAGGAAATAGTCCATTTAAACGTGTTTTTGTTAAATGTCTCTACCGTTCTCTGAATAAAATTTGTTGAAGAAAGCCGCAATAATTATGCATCAACCCAAAAGCGCTTTACCGAAGCGCTTTTTTTGTTCTTCTCGTCCTTATCGTAAACTAATGGTCTCAGGTGGGCATATACGGAGAAGAAGTCATGATTTTGTGAAGTCGCGCTTTTTGGTTCATCCGACAAATTTTGTGGGCTCAAATCCGCGTTTGCTCAGGGTAGAAATACACTAAAATGACACTCAACGGAAAAACTGCACTGATGAATCTCTGCTAACGATTCTCTATTAAGCATCACACGTCACCATCAGCAAAAAATGCCTCCTTCCAACAGTGATCTACTTTTCCAAGAAAAAAAAATGCGATTGCACTCAAAGGCACGGGTCGGGTAAAGCGTTCAAAGGAACCCCTTCGATAGTTAATGTGCGCGGGCGCAACAGAGGGGTGACGACAGGTCAACGACACCGACATTGAGACTGAGCTTACAAGGGAAGGATGGTAGGTCGAAGTGGCCGTTCGAAATGAAATGTATACCTCCTGATGCTCCAGACGCTGATTCCAAATCTGCCTTCCAAATCTGCTAAACGACTCTCCGAACGGAGTTATGAAGCGTAATAGCTCAGTGGTGATGGTCCGGGGTGGCAGGTAAAAGCTCGTAGGATCGGTTCCTTTGCAAATTGGTTGCTTTGCTTTTGTCTCTAGAAGTGTTGCGGACAAAAGCAAAGCAACAAACTTGCAAAGGAACCGATCCTACGAGCTTTTACCTGCCACCCCGGACCATCACCACTGAGCTATTACGCTTCATAACTCCGTTCGGAGAGCCGTTTAGCAGATTTGGAAGGCAGATTTGGAATCAGCGTCTAGAGACGCATCAGGTGGTATACATCTCATTTTATACGGCCACTTCGACCTACCATCCTTCCCTTGTAAGTATTTCTAGCCCTGGCAACTGTTTATGACCGCCCATCGTGGGATGTGGTGCGTAGCACTGGGGTGAAATCAGCTTCGGTTGACTTCTGTGTGAGAACCCGTTTGGACATGCCTTCCACTCAACCCACCTTCTTTGCTGCTTGGGTACAGGGGTATTATTTTCGGCTTTGTCGACGACTTCTTCCCGTTCTTTTCTTCACTGGCGTTCCACCTCTTCCGTCAGCATCTCTGCATTCACCTTCAAGCGCAAAAATACCCCAACTCGATCCCGACCCGTGCCCTTAATGGTTATGTACAGGGGCCATCTTGCATCCTTATTTTTCTCAACTCTTCCTTTTCTGGACGAGGCGACAGTGGATCGCAAATGCGATGCTTCACCAATGCCGCGCTACCTGTTGCAGAACAGTTTACGATTCCCGAGTAAATAAAAGTAAGCAATAGTTCCGCAAAAGCTAGTAATTTTGAGGGCTCTGTTCGCATAGTGGAGAAACCGCAAAGCTCTTCTACACTTCTGAATATTTCTCACGTTTGAAGAAAACTCGTGCGCGCAGAGCCAAATGAAAACCAAAGCGGGAACTATAAATGCGGGTGAACTTACCACTCAACATTAGCAACGTCACTAGTGAACAAAGTTTATAAGAGGCAAATGATGACATGGATATTTTTTGATAAATCGATCAATTTCAACTATAAAATATATACAATGAGAAGTCTCCTAATGGATGAGCAGGTTGGCAAAAATAAACAAGACCTTCATCGGATGGCTTCAATTATTAGAATATTGCATAAAATTGTCAAATTTCAACATTCTGAGTATGATAAATGATAGTGAATAACGACATAAATAATACCTAAAATGACGACAAGAAGCTTCAGAGATCACAGATGAGTACACCAAGAGAAAAGCGAGATAAGAGGGCATGGGGACAACACGGGACTTTCCGGGTTATCCCTGAACTGGGCAAAAATCGCACCAAGATGCCGTTTGCGGATGCAGGCAACGGCTCCCGGTTGAGATCAGACGATACTGACCATAGGCGCTCGATCGTAGAGATTCTGTGGCATTCGAAGGTACGTGCCAGAGTCAGACTTCATTGACTGATTGTCGTCAGTGCTCTTCGCCACGTCGACATGATCAAGAAGTGCTCGAGATATGTCCCGCTTCCGCTCCAAGGACTGGGTGGACCCGTCCTCTTCTCGCTCGAACAGATAACGCATTCTGGAAAGAAGTTTCGTATGAAGTGGCAAAGTCTATCTGAACCATTTGGATAGAACGAGATGTTCTCAGTTCATATAGGCGCAAGCAAACATCAACTTCAAATTAAACGCCATATTTCCAGGGCCACATCCCAGCCAACCAGGGATATCTAGGGCAATTATAATCGGTAGGTTGCAGGAGAACTACAGGGGTGGCCAAAAAAAGGAGACACTTTGCCCATGGCGCACATCATCAAACTTTTCGTCGCACAGGGTGCCGCTGTTGATGAAAGTTTTACGGCAAAATATCCCTTAGATGTCCTCCATAAGTAGAAGCAGGCCCTCTTCCACTGCCCTCACCGTCCTCAAAATATGACGTCATCTTCCTGAAGGTGCTACAGATTTCTCTAAAGTAATCGTTCCAGCAGAAGGTGTGTAAGCTTCTACTTCCTTCTGTGGTTATGGACCCTTGGTAAAATGACAACACTTGGCGTTCTCAACTGTGCACGGAGAACCAACCGACAAGAGCGCTTGGGCCTTGCAAAGTAAGCTGCCCAAGCTGCAGACTTTTTTCTCTTATCAGGCTGTTGTCTGGCGATCTCTCATCTGTAGCGCTCTCTCGCCCCATACTACTCTCCTCTGCGCTTAGTCTCTCATTCCTACAGCACCGATTAGGAAAGGTGAGTGAGCGCTTAACCTAAAAGTTTTTGACGGATTCTTTTACTGACGGCCCACTTCCCACCAATATATTCTCATTCGTGTACAATAGCCGCCCCAATGTGATCCTGGGGCATGCCTTTAAGTCGGTTAACTGACGGATTGCTTGCGTCCAAGAAAAAGTAGCTTTGCGATACCCCTTTCTACCAGCGTTTCAGATAACATCGTAAATGTCCATGATCCGCCGAGGGCCAGTTGAGCTCGAACCGTGCCCAAGCATCCCATAGCAAATTCTCACGATGCTCTTGATGCGTTAAGCTATTATATCGTTTACTGATAGAATTGGATGTCTTCACTAATACTTAGTTGGGAGCAGTCACGTATGGATTCAAGTAAAGTGCGATTAATGCCGTATGAAATGTGACGAAAGGTGTCGTTTTTTGGACCACCACTTAACTTGAATTTCAGGGCCAGACACTCGAGAAAAAACCTCTAGCCAACTTGTAGCCTGCACTAAATTCCATGAAACCGCTTTAAACAGTAACGAGTGAGCAATTCTGCCAACTTCTAGTCCCGGATATGTGATATCAATTCATATATAAAGTCACCTAAAAACGTCGTAAAGCTACTGATTAAATCTTTCTCCCGTGAAACTCCAGTCGGAGGGGGGGGGGGACTCAAGTTTTTCTCCAATACTCAAGATGAGATTAGGAGAGCCAAGACACATGTAATTCGAAGCCATTTAAGTATAGACTTATATAAATAGATAAACGATTAAGTATAATAGATAGATAGACTTAGTATAATAGATAAAGATAGATTGTAACCATGGGATGAGAACCCTGAAACGTTTTTCACAATTCGCCTGCCAACAGACCAAGGGAACGGTCTGGACAAGGAGAAATGCGACACCCCCTTTTTTTTCCGCAAAAGGGCCGAAGGGTGCAGGGAGCTCGGGGGGTCACTGTTGCAGGAAAGTGGTGGGTGTTGGGCAGGTAGTGGGAATGTTAGACGACAAATTCCACCGGTCCTTATCAAAAGTACGCTCGAAATGAGTCGTTCACTTATTATCTTATCCGTAGTGTTCGATAGCCCAAAGAACTGCTCTCTAGTACTACGGATAAGGATAGCAATGGAGTGGCCCCCCCCCGAAACTGGAGTTTCACCTATCATCACTCTATCCTCACAAGCCATCCACTCTCTTCTTCATAATCCTTTTCACTAGTACACCGCTAATCTTCGCACTTCCACGACCTTCCATGTCAACTTAGATGGGAATTTAATGCGGTGGTGCGCACGTCGCTCCAGATTTATTGACTGAATAAAATACACCAAGACCCGAATTCAAGAGCTTTCGGACTGCGAATTGCAGGATCCACAGCGCAGCGTCAGAAAATGACGCGCGAGTTCTCTCGAAATAATTTCAAGCTCTATAGAAGTGGGGTGGGCACGCCCAGCTTTTCACGCATGTCAAGTGGCTGCCCTCACCCCCCCCCCCCCCTTATTGGCTACACTTTCCCCTCCCTCCCCGATTCGTGACAGTACTGTAGTGGACAGCAACCATAGCTTACCACTTCTGTTCGAAAAATGCGGCGTGCCCACCCTAATTGTATAGCGATTAATTTTGTTCAATAAAAATGCCGGTGCATTGCTCAAAAATAGGGAACGTGAAAGTGGGTCAGTAAAATCTACTACTGCAAATAAACTGACGAATTAATAGTCATGTCTATGTTTACATTACTCTTATACCATTTGTGGATCGGATAAGAACCGTCATTACCTGAACACATATCCAGCGAATAGGAAAGCGCAACATGAGTACAGTATCTGCATGAGAGAGTACAGTATAGCGACGACCGACGACCGCTCTCGAAACAGGAACAGAACGACGAACGAAGCAAGAAATAGCAGCTGAAACGGTTAAAATTTGAAAAGTAGGAAATATTTGAATATTATGTAAGTGTTATAGAGCTTGGGAAATACACAACACTATCCCATTGGTGATCATTATAGATCGTGCACACACTCGTTTTATGTTCTTTAAGGTCAGTCATCCCCCATAACTTTGTTAACCCTTTCGGCCCTGGCGGTGGCAATTGCCACCATCAAATTCAAAGGTTTGCATTACCGCTGAAACAGCATGGTTTTTCTAATCCTGCTAGAGGTTGCTTCAGTCAACCTTCCCCTTCCTAATTATGCTTTAAACCTGCCATTTCATTGTGTGTTGCTGTTAGCATTACAAGTATTTGTGTACAAGTGCAACAATGAATCGGCGCTGGTCTCAGCAAGTGCTAGGTAAGTGTCAATCATTTCTAAAATACTTGACATATATTCATTTTTTTATCAAAATTATAATGTTGTGCAAGATTATAAACTTTTTCGACATAACTATGAAATTTGGAATTGTTTCGACATAAGCTGAGAAACTAAGACTGTGTCCAATTTTCAAAGCTTCCTAGTTCCTTATGTTCGGAAAGTTTCGAAATCTCATAAAATGTTGTTTATGTGCTCACAGAAAGTAAACATTTGCAAAAGAATTCCCTCCACGGAAAGAAATCAGGGTTAAAAAATTGTAACTTTATCCTGTTTATTTCCCCCCCCCCCATGGAAAACTATAGCATTAGAATCAGCTCGTCGACTTCTTTGAAGAGAACTGCTGTCTTCAATTTTATTTTTTAATTCCTAATTGCCTAAAGCGACTCTAGAATAAAAGAAAGTGAGAGGATCTCTACGTGATGTTGGTCATTTTTACACCTACACCACAAACACACTTCAGCGACTTTTCCTTCGTAAAGATTGCCGCCGCTAACGATGTGTTATCTGCCATCGCCGTCGAGCTCAGGGAGGACTACCGTAATCGCCCTACTGAAGTTCCTATTTGATTCTCCGAATCGATTCACTTTCGCAATTTCCTAGAAAGATTAGCTCTGACTATAACCCCCCTCCCTGCTGCTCCCCCCTCCCATCCAGCGTTTCAGAAAACGTATTAGTACCCACGAACCCTTGAAGATCCCATTTAGCTTGATCTAAGCACTGTTTCCTGGCAGGTTCTTCTGCCGTGTTCGCATAGGAAACCCACACGAAGCTTTCGCTATAGGAATGTGAATTTCAGTTTTAAGAGGGAAGGAACATTCGTTTCGACTTGAGTTTACCAAGATATGTGCAATTGGTGGATCTTGGATCAATCGGCAATCATTGCCATCTCGTTGCAAAAGTGCCACGATCAATAACTTAAGAAAGAAATAAACATACCGTGATAATTGAGACTAAAGACGCTTGCACTGCAGGTGCGAGTGATAAAAATCGCTCAGACGAACCACGATGACGAGATCTGGAAAGGACACGATGAATAGTTACAGGAAGGCTCAAATTATGAGAAGTAGATACCTCCACAAACTGCCTAAATAAATATTCCATATGGCATAGGAAACACATAGCGCACAGAAGAGCACAGTTGGCGAGAGGTAGTTGGCGAGAAATAGCCAGTCGATTCGCTCGAACACTCTGCAGATCAACGATTTCTTACAAAAAAAGTTGAAAAACTATGCCTTGAAAACAAAAAAGTGTCACCAGAGTAGTTTTTCTCTAAAATAGTAAAAATGAAACCAAAGAAAGAAGTGAAAGGAAATTAGTCAGTATGAAATATAGAGACTCGGTGATGGCCTTCAACTGCGCCGTCAATATATCAACGGATGTTGACAATCCCATCGAGCAGGAAAATCTGACCTGGTGCAGGTTGCTGTGTAGTTGTTGGAGAAGAGTAAAGGTGGTAGAGGGTCAGCAACAGCAGGAAGAACTGAAAAAAGTATTCGGAAGTCTGAAGGCACCACGCCACTGCTACTGTGGCCGTATTATTTTTGAATAATTGATTGATGACCGAAATCCTCCTTGAGTTTTTCTGATTCACTTCCTATCGAAGGAACTATTCCTTGTTTACCTTTCAACAATAAAGAATGAATTCCGCAACCGTATCTGCGTGACAGACGGTACTAGATTGACGAGGAGAATCAAATGTTTGACGGTGCCTAGGAAGAGGGGAGTGAAGACATTACAGAGGGAGACCTTATTTATAATTTCAGGAAAAAGAAATTATGTGAAATAATGTAGAAAGGCTCAATTGATTAGGCTCTGAGCATTAAGATCACATGGTTGGTGAACTGCTTGCATCCGGCTTTCCAAATAAAGAGGGGGGGGGGATGAAAAGAACCCAAGTCCAACAGAGATCATCGCACCACCAGAGGACCATAACGGGAACAGATCCCAACGTAGGTCTACTACAGTCCTAACTATTGACCTATACGATGACCCATTAGAACACAGCGCCGGTGGAGGAAGAGGTGGAGGTTGGTTGGGTTGGTTGCCCTTCCAACCTGAATACGCACGATGCAAGATAAGAAAAAATCCAGGTTTTTGTTGCCGTCGAGCCTCGCGATCTATTTGACTCGAAAGAAATGTGCGCGATATTCTGGAAAGGACCTACGGATTGTAACATGGAAAAACAGAATCTCACTGAGAGAAAGAGGGAATGGAGTGGAGGGAAAATTTTTAGGTGTGAGGGATTTTCTCAATCAGACCAAGGAACTATTGGAGTTCACATATATGAGAAAGGAGATGTTTAGTATTCACACTGATTACCGAAAACTGAGAAATACTTAGCCAACTGTAGCAACACTGATAATTATAACTACTCACATATGCCGAGGCCGATCACTGAACACGGACGAGAGCAACACTTCTCATCCTCCTCCTTCACCCTTTCGTGTGAAATCAGTACCGCTCGAATCGAACTCAATACTAAATAGAGCGTGGCCGTCACCGAAATAATCGAGAACTGCAGGATCAGATGAAGAGACGGAGAGAGCGCGAATGGATCGCCCACCTGAAAGACGGATCCTGTAAGCGAGCGACACAATAAATATTTTCCAATCTTGACCCATTGGCCACACTGATTCTCAATGTGAGGAGTTATGTGCCGCATGGGCCAATGCGGCTCGATTTGGGGACGCACCATGTAAAGAAACTCTGAGACCTGCATCCAACCCTATTACGGTTTTACAGTGAAAAACTGAGTTTTTCCAGCTTTCTCCGAAAATGTCCTGTGGCCAAACAAAAGAATTTACGTTGCTCTATGAGCGATCGGCAAAGATTGAAGACGAGCGAAGTCTCAACAGTTTCGGTATAGAGACATTTTTGGTGTGAATGGGTCCCAGCAATATGGCACATTTGTTGAAAATATTGAAGTAGAAGCGATCTCACGCGGCGGACCGCAAAAATTATCGTCGCCAACGTGTTAAAATCCCGAACCGAAGGTGTTGCAACTTGCAGAACGCTCTTTCGAAAAAACGAGGGAATATTCTATCGTTGGCTAAGAGAAATTACATTATGGTAAAAGCTTTTGGCATGAAGCGCAAATTCTACAGTCAGTTATATTAACTTATTAGAGGCCCTTATCGCCATAGGAATGAGTGTGCAAATGTAGCTGCACGAAGTTTGTATGCAGGCATGCATACGCATAGTCGAGGCACAATACGAGGTTTTTGGTCGGTAATGGACACAACTTCATTCAGTCAATGGATCCAAGCGATACATTATATGATGTAGGCAACGAGTTTTGCAATAAGATGTCACGAAGCTTGAAACTGGACCCGTGAACCAGTCACCAAGCAAGAGGATACATCTCGCCGATGGCAAAAACTGGACCTCAAATCAAATGGGTGCACACGTTCGGTGCTAAAGTGCTTGAAGTCGCCATAGGCAAGCGTGCGAAATATTGTAGGGCACAGAGCGCCCCTGAAAGACGTTATAAAGCGTTGCATGCTAGCATTTTGGTCCATCCGCCTATTAGCCAGCAAGGAAATCATACGCAATATGCGTTACGACGTAGCGAACTAGATAGCCCATAGGTTCAGTAGATTTGGTACACGCATCACAACGATGAGGCTATGTCCCTTTAAGGTAGAGTGGACATCTCAAAGTGGGCAAGAAGTAGCCCTTGTTCAAGGCTTCATAGGCGTTTTCCTTTACTTTTTTCACTTTCAGTCAAATCGCTATACTTTCATGATCGATCGTTGTTACAACACCAATTTGATCTGGGGTTATGCTTTGAGGTCGTCTGAACGAAACAGGAGTTTCTTTTGAAAGCAAAAGTCGAGTATTCCCTAAATATCGCCTACCTGTGGGAGCAACAAGCATGACGAGATGCACCACAAGAATCATAAATACAAAGAATAGGTAGATGAGCAGAGCTAGATCGACGGACTGATTTCTGAAAAGATCGGTTGTTTTAATAGGAACATGAAAGAAGGTGGCAAAGTTGAAGCACCAGCAGCCAATGTTGAAAAGACTGTCTCGCATCTCATAACGATATTCACTATTAGATGGCTGGACACAGACTATGCAGTGTTCACCCAGGCAAGTGTACCTTATGTATCAAAAGATTGCAAGCGGCCTCATTAACATGGGCAACTGATAGACAAAACTACAAAATTCACTTCTGCACCGCCGCCATAAAAAGCAAGAAGATGGAGCAGATCATCGAGATGAACGTGGTCACCGTCGGCAGCAACACTCCCAGATCTCGCATCGCATCGTCGCTGTCAAAGAAGTAGCTCTCCTAAAAGCGTTTCACGTGGAATACAGCCGAAGAAATGGCACCAAGTTTAGGACGTACCGGCAACAGTGAGAACACACCCATGTGGTTCGCCTCACATTTCACGAATCCGTGATAGTTGGTGTCCACTCGGCGAATTCCTCGTGTAGACCAGCCTCCTTCTGAAGGTAGAAGATTCTCAAGGTCACTCGCTATTTCGAGTTCACAGCTTTAAGTGACAAAAATGTCGAGTTCTATTTCGCTGTCGATGGGGCAGAAATGTTCTTAAAATCTCAAAGGAATCGCCCACGGGAAAATCATGATTACAATTCACCCTGATAACCGGCATGAGAACCACCATCCACGAAAAAAAAAACGAAAAATGCGTTCGTTCTGATAAACTATTCGAAAAACCCGAAGGACTGGAATGGTTCAAATTCTTGTCGTACATCTCAAATAAATATTGAGAACGGGAACTCTCTCTCCAAACTCGCACGCTTTGACTCAATTCTTTCAATGCGCCTCTTATACGTGGCCGCCCGAGGGCGCTTTTTTCATGGCTCCCATCTCTCCGCCCAACCTACACTTGACCGTCCATTTTTGTGCCCCCATTCAGAAACTTAATATTCTTGTATGAAAGTATGAGGTTGGCTATTCCTGTGAGCAAAACCAGTTCTTACACAATGAGCTTTTGAGAGAATGCGAAGCCTGAATCATATCGAAGCCCAGTTGACGTGAACGGCATTTCTTATGCAGATAAAAGCTGCATCAACAGCTCAACTAAGTGACAATCAATTGCACTGGTTGTTTTGAAAAAAAATGTGTGATTTGAACCCACCGGCTGCGTCAAAGTAGACGCAAGTGTAGTTGTGTCGAAAATCCTTCGGTTTCAGCATGATGGTCATTTTCGTAAAATAGACGTGCTCAAGCGTATCCAGTTTCAGTGAGAGGACCGGATTTCTGAAAGTGGTCTATCGGTGTACGGATAGAACTGGCAACCTTTGAAAGGAATTTGCGACTGATAATATGGATTTTTCGACAATGAGTATGTATATTATCTTGCGAAACTTTTCCAGAGTGGAATTTTTCAGACAGAGTACATAGAACGTAAAATTCTAGCACAAGAAGAATGCCTCACTCATGACAGCGAAAAATAAAAAGGCGGTCAAGGGAATTCAACTCGAATACCAGATTTTTTTGCTTTGCATAAGTTAAAGGCGGAATTAAACACGTGAAAGAAACCGCCGTTATGTGCCCACTGAATTCAAACATTCGTAATTCCTCTCATCAATATGCATTGATCCCCTCAGCGTTTTCACATTACAGAACAAGAAATTTTTCAGATCCACTAATACATGGACCGTATTGATGACCTAATTCAAGAACACCAGTCTGCTCGTTGAAATTAGACATCATACCACACGGTCGTCAACGCGGTTAAACGACGAAAATATAGCCCTTGGGAATTTAGTTAGAGATGGCCAGCGATGTACGAAAGAAGGAAAACCGAGTAATGACCCAGAGCCCGACCAATGGCACCCCTTCCTTAACCGTTGATTGGTGCAACTCATCGATGCTGCCCTCTTCAACGCTCACGCTCTCTCTGCTAAACGGCTAGAGACTCAGCCACGAGACGACGAGAGAGGGGGCGTACTGCGTCAAGCGCCAATTGCGCCGCGGGGAAGGCCATGCTAGATCGCCGAGGCATATCCTTCAATGCCAATTGCATGTCGGTCCGCTCCCTTAGGAGGTCTCTCTACTAGGTAAGTTTCCCTTTATTCATCCCTTGTCCTTATCGTGGAATCCTCCTTTAAAGAGTGAGACTCGTAAAAAGGGTGGACGGTGTCTCCAAATGCGTGGGGACAACATGAGTAGATTTCACCAACGGTTTCTAAAATCCTAGAGAACTTCGTGATGAATGCAGTATAGGGTTGATTCCGTCTTTTGCTTCCTCGACATATGTAGAAGATTTTCAGAAGCCCCAATTTAGCAGCCTATAACAATCCTACTGAGTTGATGTCATTTCCCATCCCTGGCGAGACCGTTAGTCACGAGGCTTAAACATCGTCGAAGTGAAACAAAAAAAGAGAAAGAAACTGGTTGCAAAACAATGTGCGAACGTACTGTGAACTGATCACGTCGAACAACGAGGCATTGGCCATGCATATGCTTCTCACAATATGGTCGGAGTCGATGGTCGGCAGCTGAGAAAGTCGAGAAAAGCAATAAGAAAGGGCTCAAAAGGCATGCACATTTAATAGTTACCTTTACACGGCACTTAGTACCGAGAACAGTGTCGAAATTCTCGCTGTCCTTCACCCACTGCATCGCTTTCAAATGAAGTCCAAGGTCCGGTGAGACCAAAGTGAACGGTGATGGCAGACGCATAGAAAATTCGGACAGGATCGACCACATCTCGGACTGAAAACGTCACTTGTGAATATTTTAAAGCACACGTGCTCGAGAAAATGCATCATCGTACAGTCAAACGAGTTCAAGTAATTATGTATAATTATTACAACTAAGCTTTATTAGAGTCGAAAAGGAAAAGCGATACAAAGAAAATTTCGTCAGAGCCATTCAAACTCGCAATAACGTAATCAAAAGAGAATATCAAACCTTGGCTAACGTTGTGTTTCCCTGAAGTGAGTCAAAGTCGATCTGAAGAACGGAGTCAATGACAAGAGCCGCCTGTTCGGCGATTTTCTGGTCAAAATGAGCAGTGACGGTGGGATCGGTCGAAAATGCTGGCACAGTGAGCAGATCGCGAATGAACCTGAACAAGCACGATGGAAGAAATACACGCTATGAAGCTGGAGGCCGGAGAAATTACCTCCCAGGAGAGATTTCGTTTATAAAGGTTTTTTCTTTCTTTAATTACCCACTCTTCCACAACTGAAGGACCCAAACAACCACTCCCACCTAGGTTCCTTTCCAGCGCTTGCGGTGCGATTTGAGAATTTAGAAGTTTGCATCGATTAGTTAACCTCAATTCTAGGTAGCGATCTCACCGTCTGGTAACTTCACATTCAAGGTGTCAGCATTGGACGCCAATGGTGAAACGCCCAGCGAATGGCAGCGGTTTACTGTATTCCAAAACGGTACCGTATCCTCAATTGTGTTCACAGAAATCTCCAGCGTCTGACAGAGGAATTGTTTTAGATTTGTTTGTAGGGAGCTGTTCCATCTGGAGTGTTCCACTCTCTACTAACCAAACGTGCCTTAACCGTCTTGAGCCAGTTCGGACAGCTCGTGGCGCTCATTGCCAGTGTTTTCATGGTTTCGTAGGCGTCGGATGCGATAAGACTGGTTAGTCAACATTTATAATCGGATGGTCGAAATTTGGAAATGTTACTGCGTGACAAAATTGAGAAACTTCATGACTGATGGCCATACCATTTCCTCTTTAAAAGCTATGAGGAGTTAAATTTCCATAGCGCTTCCGTCCAGCCGATCACGTTTACACGCGCGTCTGATTACACGGCGTCTATCCCATCGTATTCGCTCCAGCGGCGTGGTTGCGCAACATTGAGACGGCTTTCATCTCCGGGTCATAACTGTTCCTCAATCCATTATGAATGCGCCTCGAGATTGGCCCAATCGCCCAGATACATCAATTTCCGCGCTTGGCTGACCGGCAAACCGCCGCCGCGTTGCCCTTTAGAGCGCCTCTTGGCGGCGACATAAAGCACCCGGAAAACAACACCTCAAGCCGCCACTTAATTGCGCCAAACACCCACAACTGACACCCATTAGGCTTTATCGAGTGCGACGTATGGATGAAATCGGAGAGGGATTCAGAATGCTTTCAGACAACTGTCAACCCGAGAAACCGTGGACAGCTATGGAGGACTGGACTGGAGAGAGGCGTCTGCGAACGCTACCGTTCAAGTGCCTTGTAAGATTTGGATTCATAGTTCAAATATTTCACAGGAAACGAAACGCAAAACTAATCTAGCAATGATGTGATTGAGCGATCGCCTGCTGTACACAAAGTCTCATTTTTTTACAGTGGTCAAATAAAAATTTATTTAGTGAATTTATTTTAATGAAGGGTTTTCTTAAGGTCCGTACAACACCGAAAGTGACAAACAAAAAGTGGAGCGGGCCTGCGAATGGAACAAACAGCTGGGTAGAGCTGTATGGGCTCGTCAGAAGGAGAAGGATAAGTGCAAACCGCAGGTACGGTATGATCCACCTAGCAGTCTAAGCTATAGAAAGGGTCGCGTTGAAATGCCGCCGCATTCCATTTTCATGATGAAATAGATGACGAAATCATAGAGGAACCTGTATTTATTTATGATGATCGTACCGGAGCACTTCGAAGTATAATTGAGCATTTTAAACTTTTTTATTTTTATTTATTCTATTTATTTTTTATTAAAATTTATCAGAGTGGAGCGATGAAGTGGTCGAAAAAAAAACACTAAATCGTGTTCGTCGGAAGCCGCTGAATGAATATCCTGAACACACAGCAAACAATGCGGTCTGCGAGCAGATTTGCGTTCTAATTGTTTGTTAATCCTTTCATCGGGTATTTTACCTATCACCTGTATCACCTGTCGTCCCGTTGATCGTCGATTTGCTCGAGCGGGCGCCAGCAACGTCTCCATTCGTCCCTGTCGCGTGCTAGAGTGGTCCAGTGGATCCTCCTTGCTCGAGGGACACGAAGTCGTTCATTCCTTTCGTTCAGAGCTTTCGTGAAGAAGTCTGACCATCGGGCCGGCGGTCGTCCAGGTGTTCGTTTGACGTCCCGAGGGATCCAGTCGGTAACCGCTCTGGTCCAACGGTCATCGCAAAATCGCATGACGTGTCCGGCCCACCTTATT